AGCGGGGGGGTGAGAGAGAGATAAAGAGAGAGAGAGAGAGAGAGAGTGCGAGAAAGAGAGAGAGAGAGAGAGAGAGAACGATAGAGAGAGCGAGAGACCCAGACCTCCGACATCATGATTTTTTCTCAACGTCGACCCCCACAGGTCTCGGCCCAATCCCCCAGGACCTTTTTTCACCCTGCGTCGTCTTTAGACGGTCCCGAGGCCCGGTAGTGTCCCCCAGAGGTCGAAACTAACGCAAATCCTCGGGCCGTGCTTTTCTCATGACTCGAGGGGGCCTGGGGACAGCCAGCGGCGGAGAGCCCCGCGCGGCGCCCGGGGCGGGGCGCGCAGGACCTCGTCAACACTGGGCCCCCGCCCCCTCCTCGCAGTGCCTTGCGCCTCGGCCCCACGCCGCCCGCCACCGGGCGCTCGTGCCCCGGGTCTCCGCCGCCCGCGCCGGACGCGGCCACGCCTGGCGCGCCCCCGCCGCCGCAGAACCACGTCCGCCTGGGCCCCACGCTGCCCGCGCCTGGCGCGGTGCGGCACGGCTCGCCGCCGCCGGCCCCGGACGCCGTCGGGTCTGGCCCGCCACCGCCGCTGCGGTCGCCCTTCCGCTCCGGCCCGACGCCGCCCGCCACCGGGCTCGTGAAGCTCGGCCCAGCGGCGCCGACGCTGGATCATGTGCAGTCGGGCCCGACGCCGCCGCCCAGGGGCCTCTCCCGGCCCGGCTCGATCTCGCCAGCGTCTGGGACGACCGGGGAGAGCAACATTGGAGTGCGAGAGAGCCCGATGCGTGATTTCGGCTGCCTTCCCAGGCATGCTCGCGTCGTGAAAAAACACGGCGAGAGGTTTTTGGCTTTTTGTCAGCTTTGGGCCTCTGGGGGCCCTTGCCAGGCCCCGAATCCGTCAAACATCGGCTCGGGATGAAACGCGGGCCCTTGGGACAGAAAAGATCTAGACATCGGATGCCTGCTCATCGACATTGGTTTGGGGTTTTTGAGGGGAAATTGATGCCTGGGCTCCAGGACAGCCTGGCCGTCCACCTGCGTTGATTGCCGTTCGAGCTACTGGCCCGATTTTAGTTTCGAGCCAGTGGCTCGAACGAACATCGATGCTGGTGCCGTCCTGGCTTGTGGACACGGCCAGGGAGGTAGTGCGCAGTGCCAGGCCCAGCCCGTTCTGCGCCGCAGCCTGCCCGCGGGTGCCCTCCCGAGGACGACGCAGCCTGGGCCGCCGCCCTCCGCGCCGGACCTCCTCCACCTGGGGCCGCCGCCGCCGCCCAGGTACCCCTGCCGCGCCGGCCCCACCACGCCCGCGTACGGCATGCAGAGGCTCGGTGCGCCCTCGCCAGCCTCGGACCCCGTCCACCCCGGCCCGACGCCGCCCTCCCGAAGCCCCATTCACCCGGGCCCGACGACGCCCACCTCTGGGCTGACGCGGCCTGGCCCGACCCCGCCGGCCTCGGACCTCGTGAACCTGGGGCCCACGACGCCGCCGCGGAGCCTCCACCGGCTGGGGCCGACGCCCCCGGCGCCGGGCAGAACATTCCCTGGGCCACCACCGCCCGCCCTCGACGTCGTCAGCCTGGGCATGACGCCTTCGCCCCGCAACCACATGCGATTCGGCCCCACGCTGCCCGCCACAGGCGCCACGCGCTCTGGCCCGCCACTGCCGGCCCTGGACCTCGTGCAGCCAGGCCCGTCGCCGCCGCTGCAGAACTCTGTGCGGGCCGGCTCCACGCCGCCCGCGTCTGGCACGACACGCTCGGACCCTTCGCCGTCCGCGACTGACTCTGTCAGCATGTCCTCCACGCCGCCCCTGCGCGGCTCCGTCAGAGCCGGCTCGACCCCGCCCGCGTATGGCATGTCTCGCTCGGGCTTCCCCCCGTCCGCGCTGGACCCCGTGAGCCCCGGCCCTCCGCCTTCGACCCGCAGCCCCTTGCGTCCTGGGCCCACGCCGCCGGCCTCGGGCACGACGCGCCCCGGCCCGACGCCGCCCGTGTCGGACTCCCTGCACCTGGGCCCGTCGCTGCCGCTGCGGTCCTCCGCGCGCCCCGGCCCTCCGCTCCCTGCCTCTGGGCTGACGCGGCTGGGCGCCATGCTGCTGGTTCCTGACCACGTGCAGCCTGGCTCCATGCCGCCGACGCGCGGCTTCGCGCGTGCGGGCTCGCCCCCTCTGGCCTACGGCATGAGCCGGCTGGGGCCAGCGCTTTCCGCCCCCGACCTCTTGCACGCGGGCTCGGGGCTGCTTCCAAGGAGCCTCCTCCGCCTTGGGCCGCCGCCGCCCGCATATGGTGTGTGCAAGCTGGGGCTGGTGCGCGGCAGCAGAAGCCGGCTTCCTGCCCCTGAGCGAAGAGAGATGATTTTTGCTTCGTGTATGCGCGTGTGGGAGTGTGTGACACAGAGTACGTGACGTACATGTAGTCGGCATGCGCACGAGCAGACAATGTCGCATGCGCGTGGCATCAATTTTCGCAGTGTGCGTAGATGCGTGCTGCATGTTTCATGTGCGTATGCGTACAAGCGGTTCAGGTCTAGTGAGACAGCAAATCAAGGGTCTCGACACGCACACACACATACACATCACATCACATGTGGCACAGTGTGGTTGTGGAGAGAGGCGCGTTGTTGCGTAAGTGATGGGTAGTGATTGCTTGCACGCGTGCTTCTGCTGGTCTGGTTTGTATGCGTATCGTTCTGGTAGCTTCGGCCCATCCCGCCACCATGTCTGGGTCGTGGATCAGAGGACTCGTGGGGCCTTCCTCTTGGGTGGGTCTCGGGGTCACTTTGGACGGGCATGGTCCTGGGCACCCGAAGCAAACTTGTCATAATTTGGGCGTCCCAGAGGCTCACGGAGTACACCTCAGGAGCGCCAGGGAGCGCTTGGGAATTCCCAGGGCCGCCCGAGGATCGGTGCTCGGGCCCCTCAAGAATTCAGTAACTACTCTGACGTTCACCCTACCGCACACTCCGAGTCTCAGACCCCCGACGTCATGCTTTCTTCGTAACGTCCACCCCCAGAAATCGGTGCTCGGGCCCCTCAAGAATTCAGCAGCTACTCTGACGTTGACCCTACCGCCCACTTCGAGTCCCAGTCCAGCGGCATCATGATTTCTTCGTCAGAGGTCTCGACCGATTCCTCGGGACCGGTTTTCATCCTGAGTTGTTTTCTGATTGTCCAGAGTCCCAGTGAGGGCCCCCCAGAGGCCGAAATCAGTGAAATCTCCTCCGTCGTGTTTTCTCATGACTCGAGGGGGTCTGGGGTCCGGGGTGGGGGAGCCCTCTGCCGCCCAGGTGCCGCCACCGACAGACCTGCTGCACGTGGGCCCCTCGCCGCCTCCGAGGCACCCCCTCCGTGCCGGGCCAGCGCCGCCCGCGTACGGCACGACGCGCCCAGGGCCGCCGCCGCCTTCGACCGACCGCGTCCACACCGGCTCGCCCCCGCCTCCCCGGGGCCCCGCGCGCCCAGAGCCCTCCCCGCCGACGTCCGGCACGACGCGCCCGGGCCCCAGCCCTTCGGCGCCCGACCCCATGACCACTGGCACGCCCCCGCCGCCGCGGAGCCACTACCGCTCGGGGCCGCCCTCCCCTGCGCCGGGCACCTCGAAGCCCGGGCCCTCGCCGCCCGCCCTGGACCACACCCAGCTGGGGCCGCCGCCGCCGCCGAGGTCGCCCCTCCGCCCCGGCCCGCCCCCGCCGCCATACGGCCTGCTGCGCCTCGGCCCGGTGCTGCCGCCGCCGGACCACCAGAACCTCGGCAGCACGACCCCGCCGCGCAGTCCCACGCGCCCGGGGCCGACGCCGCCCACGTACGGCACGTCGCGCCCGGGGCCCACGCCCCTGGCGCCCGACCCCATCCACCTCGGCGCCTGGGGGGCGCCGACCGCGTCGACGCCAAGCTCGGACGGGCCCGTCCTGGGCCCGGGATCCTTGCAGACCCTCGGCGTCACGACCCTTTTCGTCACGAAGGCCAGGGGCAACCTTGTGGGAGGATAGGCTCGCGGGGGGCACCGACCCCCGATCGGCCATGCATCGCTGACAGGGGCCTGACAGCCCACCCCGCGGATATCGATATCGAGAGCCTATCATCGCCGATCTAGCCGACAGGGGCCTGATAGCCCACCCCGCCCAGGAATTTGGAGATATCGCCATCGAGCGGACATCGTTATCGAGAGCCTATCGGCGACGTATCGCCGCTGTTGGGTCGATGTCTAGCACCCTGAGCCAGTGTCCCCCCGCTTCGTTGCCCCTGAGTAGGCCTCCGTAGACATTGACCCCTTCCTGGGGCCAGCCCCGCACCCTGGGGGCGTGTGTCGATGGCCCTGCGCCTGTAGCGGGCGAGCCCCGAGAGGCCTGCACCACGGAAGGCCTGACCGCTTGTTTTTTTCTCGAGGCGCCAGAGGTCTGGGGCGCGCGCGCCCCTCCATATTCGACCAAACAACAAACGACGCCATCCCACCTACGGCCCTCCGGGCCGGCGCCGTGGCGTACTGAGATGCCCAGGGGCTTTGCTAAATGATTCGCGTGACCCAACTAAGTTGTAAGTGCGCGCAACATAGTTTAACCTTGCAAGCATAAGTCATAAATCCAACATGTAATAATAAACTCCCCGTTCTGTGCATATCCACAAGAGAGCATACTTCCAGCTTAGCTGGCTTACCGTAACCCAAATTGAATGAAACCTATATCGAGATAGTCATATCCACACAACCTAGTTATAAGTGGTTGTGCGAGGTTACAGACAGACAATACAGCCAGGTTATAACTACCATAAACAGGTTTGCTAACCTGGTTAGCTCGGTTGGGAACGTTTTTTTTTGACGGGCCACGTAGGCTTTCGAAGCTGGCCTGGCGGATTTCTGGTTGAAAAGCTCGTAGATGTATGATTATCACAAAGATGGGATCGATTATGTTGTTTGTTGGCGGTCGCTTCGGACCACAGCTCTGTGGCTCAAGCCTGAGATTGCGCCCGGAGGTTCCTGATTTCAGACTCCTCGTCGATGAAATCCTTGGAGCGACATGGCCCGCGGCATCGCCGCGCGTGGCGTTGCCCAGTCGTGTAAGGAGGTGGCTCCGATCATCGCCAAGCTGATCCAGGACTGCGACCCTGGCAGCGACGACGGAGGGAAAGGCCAGATGAAGGCCAAAGCGGGCGAGATCTGCAACATTTTGGAGATGAGCGACCTGGCCTGCTGGGGGACCATCGCGGACGAGAAGGTCGTCACTGACCCCTGCAACCGCTGGGGCATGGGCTTGGACCCAGTGGACGTCCACGAGCTCTTGATGAAGATCGCGCAGCAAGGCTGGAGCGAGGCGGCACTGCATACCCCAAGGTGCTTCGAGATCGGCCCTCGCAGGATCGACGACATGTACGACGCCGCGGGTGGCCAGCTTGCTCCTGTGGTCAAGGACGACATGAGGGTCACGACGGTGACGTGTTCCCACGCGACGGCTGGGAAGCGAGCTATGTTGGCGGGCTGTAGTTCTACCCAAGCCAAGTTGTGTGTGGACGGCGTCCTGCAGGGCCAAGGTGACTCTCTCATCTCCTTATCCTCCTCCTCCTCCTCCTCCTCCTCCTCCTCCTCCTCCTCTTCCTCCTTATCATCCTCTTCCCTCCTCCTGATCCCTCCTCCTTCTCTCTCCTCCTCCTCCTCCTCCTCCTCCTCCTCCTCCTCCTCCTCCTCCTCCTCCCCCTCCCCCTCCTCCTTCCGCCCCTCATCGCCCCCCTCATCCTTGCAGGTTGCTGCGCTGAGTCCGAGTTGCGACGAGGCGCTCGGCGTAGGTACCAGGTGGTTTGTCATCCGCCATCAAGTTCTTGACGAGTGCGCAGGGATCGCAGAGTGCTTGCGCGAGGCTGACAACGTCGGCCACGGGGCGGAGAGGGAGCAGACGCACGTTGAGGCGATGTTCGCCGTCCACGCCAAAGCGGCGAAGAACTTCAAGGTTGCGGGCGAGTACTTGCCCGACGCCGTTTCCCGCGACATGGAGGCCACCCAGCCGCGCGTGGAGTGGCAGGTTCGGGGCATCGGCGAGTTCGCGGTGAAGTGGAGGGGGGGGGAGGGGGGGGGGGGGGGGAATGCGCCTGCAGTGCGTCCAGGAATGCTCGAAGGTGCCCCCGTTCAGGCGCGAGCTATCGGATCAGCTTCTTCGTTCCTTATCGGTCTTGCAAGTGGCCCAAGCACCGCGCTACGTCGTCGCCGCCGTGAAGGCCCCCCCCTCGTAGCCCCCGGCCAGCACTGCCACGGGCAGACCTCGAAACTCTTCACCGCGACCGACCTGGCCAACATCACGAAGAAACGGCAGCATGCGATCGAGGCGAACGACCAGATGGTCAAGGCGAAATCGCGGCTGGATGAGACCACCGCCAAGGGCAAAGCCAACGGCGACGCGGCGAAGATATACGGAGACTTCCAGGCGCACATGGCGATGCACCTTCACGGGGAGAAAAGCAAGCGCCGTGCCGCGTTCAAAGACACGTCGGAGATTTGCCAGAAGTTCCTCACGGACACGTTCGCCATGTTCCCAGCGTCTCGGACTTCGCAGCTGCCATGGCCGCATCTAGGACAGGTCGCACCTGGGCCCGACGCGACGGGGCCGAATGGCAGCGCCATGAGGGAGTTCGGTGAGAATGGGCTGTTCGTCAACAGCTTGAAGGCCAACGGGTTCGAGCAGAACGCGGTGGTCAAGCTCGAGGCTGACGGCGGCAGCGACGAGCGGTGGAAGCTTATGAAGATCAAGGGTGGCAGCGTTGGCTTGGCGGAGTTCGACCCCAAGAAGATCAGAGAGCCAAAAACGTTCAACCCCAGCTGCGAGTGCAACCTGGGGTGAATGTGTACCCTTTGGAAATGGCGCATGCCGTTCCCGTGTGCGTTGCGTTTCTGCGCGCCGACCCGAGCGGCGCGTTCTTGCGGCCGCGACGCGCTTTGTGCGCGGTTTTCTTGCGCGGCCTTCCGCGCATGGTTGCTTCGGAGGCGCGGGGTTGATTTGCGCTTGCCCAGGCCAGGTTCGGTTGGTCGAAATTGATGCCCCGCCGCGCGGGGCTGCGCCCAGGAATCAATCAGGACGTAGCGTGTGGCGCTGCGGCGTTATCAGCTGTCGGCGCCCGCGCAAGCGTTCGCTGGAGTAAATTCACTCAGCGGGACCTTCGCCCCAGGTTGTACTCATTTTGTTTTTTCCACACAACTTCATGTTTGCTTGCACATGTTGCGTGCGTTGTTTTTCGATGTTTGGTGGAACCTTCATCTGAGGTTGCACATGTAATTTTCCGAGGGGTTCACCTGGGGTTGCACATGTAGGTTTTCCCCGCGGGAGTAAATTTACTCGCGGCATGCGCCGTCCCCCCGGCCAGTCCGAAGCCCCTCGCCCCGCCGTCTACTCCCCTCGTCGCGGGCGCGGCGGGGGAATGGGGGGTGGAGGGGGTGAGGAGGGGTGAAGGGCGAGGGGGCATGGAGAACGAAGGGATGGTCGGATGGAGTTGCGGGGTCAGGGATGCCAAGTTGTACTTCAGGGATCGTTAGCACAATCTCCGAGTTGTAAATGATGGCGGCGGGGTGGGCTGAACGCGGCTGGGGGCGTGGCTCGAGCGCGCCGCGCCCTCGGCGCACCGAAGGGGCACTGGGCGCGCCCCAGGTTGCACTCGCATCTGGGGTTGAACGTTTTTCTCCTCCCGAGAAGAAGGGCAAGCCAGCCAGGCTTCTGGGCGTGCGCGTGGTTCGGGCAACTGGAACGCACTATCCCAGACCCAGGGGTGAACGTTAGATCTATAATGAAAATAAGTTTTAACACGAACACCACTACTAACCTTTGGGCAACTATTATAATTGCTACCTCTAATCCAAGGAGGAAGGGGCGACGACGACGACGACGGCGGCGACGGCGGCGACGAGGGGGGGGGGGGCGACCGCGAGCCCCAGGCGGCGCGCAACGACGCGTTCTCCCTGGACCTCGCGGCCAGCGGCTCCAAGGACAATCGTTTTTTCCCCATGTCCTAAGATGGGGTTCTTGTTATTACTTGGGCGCCTCCTACTCCTCCTCCTTCCTCCTCATCTTTTCTCCTCCCCTCCTGTCGGGCTTACTCATACTCAGACTTGCTCATGCACAGACTTACTCATACTCAGACTTACTCAAGCAGATTGTGGGGATGTCTCAGGCGGGGCGCTGGTTTCAGCACCCCTAAGGGGAGCCGCCAGGGGTGGTTGCACGGGCTCGTTCGCGGCCATTTTGTGGGGATGTTTCAGGCGGATTGCTTGTTTCTGGGCCCAGCATCCTTCGCTTTCGGAGCAGATTTGGAGGATGTCTCGAGCGAGGCGCTCATTCCAGCACCCCTAAGGGGAGCCTCCAGGGGTGGTTGCACGGGCTCGTTCGCGGCCATTTTGTGGGGATGTCTCAGGCGGTTTGCCTGTTTCTGTGCCCAACATCCTTCGCTTTCGGAGCAGATTTGGAGGATGTCTCGAGCGAGGCGCTCATTTCAGCGCCCCTAAGGGGAGCCGCCAGGGGTGGTTGCACGGGCTCGTTCGCGGCCATTTTGTGGGGCTGTCTCAGGCGGTTTGCTTGTTTCTGTGCCCAACACCTTTCGCTTTCGGGGCAGATTTGGAGGATGTCTCGAGCGCGGCGCTCATTTTCACCCCCCCAGGTGGGCCAGGTTTTGGGGGTGTCTCGATCGGTTTGCTTGTTTTGGTGGCCAGGCTCGTGGGCGCAGATTCTTCTCAGGATGCCACAGGAGGCTCCAACAGGGTCCAGGAGGCTCCAGGAGACCACATGAGGTCCCAGGAGGCATCAGGAGGCCACAGAAAGATTCAAGAGGCCACAGGATGTCCCAAGAGGCTCCAGGAGGCCCCAGGAAGCTCCAGAAGGCTTCAGGAAACCACAGGAGGCCCCATGAGGCAACAGGAAGCGCCAGGAGGCCTCGGAAGGCAACAGGAGGCCCCGAGAGGACCCAGGAGCAGGAGGCATCAGAAGGCAACAGGAGTGGTTCCAATCCCATGTGTTTTACGTATGCTCCTATCGATTGGGCCTCACCTGGAGCACGATTCTTTGATGTTCTACGTATGTTTCTATAGATGGTCCTTCTCCTGTGTGCACAATCTTAAATGTTTTACTCATGTTCCTACGTATTGGGCCTCTCCTGGGGCACGAGTCCTTGGTGTTTTACGCGTGTTCCTATAGATTGCCCTTCTCCTGTGGCTCTAATCCGCAATGTTTTATGTGCGTCTGTTGCTATAGATTGCGCCTCTCCTGGGGCACGAAACCTTCCTAGGAGGTCCCAGGAGGGCCCAAGAGGCCCCTGGGGACCCCAGGAAGCCCCAGTAGGTTTCAGGAGGCCCCAGGAGGCCCCAGGCTCATGCGCAGAGACGCGCTCGTACTATTGAGGCTCATTCACATTCCAATTCATTCGCAGTTAGATTGATGTCCAGACCGTCACAACTGAAGCCCGTTTATATTCGAAAGCTCTTGCGCGTAGACATTCACGGCGGACAGGTCCATGCGAGTAGATGCACATATGGGGAGCTCCACGCAGTGTTTTTTTTTTTGGGGGGGGGGGCCCTCCTGCTCCTGCCCCTGTTCCTGCTCCTCTTCCTCGAGATCACCCCCCTGCTCTTGCCCCCCTGCTCCCCCTGCTCCTGCTCCTGCTCCTGCTCCTCTTCCACTTCCTCCTCCTCCTCTTCCTCCTCCTCCTCCTCCGCTTCCCCCTCCCCCCCCTCCTGAATTCTGGATCTTTTTGTGGTTTTGATGCTTGGATGTTTTCTGGCCTGTGCGCGGTGGTGGTGGTGGCGGTGGCGGCGGTGGCGGCGGTGGTGGTGGTGGTGGTGGCGGGGGCAACAAAAGACGCAGTGGGCTTGAGGATCACGAAGGGAGGGATAAAGGGGGGAAGAGGATGAGGGGGCGATTGCGCGCCCTCCCCCACTCCCGCCCCCCCCCGCCACCCGCGCAGGACCAGAAGGAGATGATGATGTCGATGTCCGTCTGCAAGGCCAAGGCTGGGCCGGGGCAGTTACGCAGCCTGTTCCAACCCCATGTATCCCCGACCCTCGAGGGTCGCAGTAAGCCGCGGCCAGTTGCGACCGACCTGATCCTTAGCGCAGATTGTGCTTAGGGAGCGTGCGTCCTCATTGCGTTGTCGCCTTCTGTCCCTTGCGGTCAGAAGATCCCCGCTAGCGGGTGGAGACCCCCGCAGTGCCCGGTGCCCCTGGAGGCCACCATGTGCTCGTGATGCCCAAGATCGTGCTCGCAGACCCTGCGAGTCCCGATAAGCAGCCCTCCGTGGTCCCATATTGGCGCGCGCCGAGGACCCCCGACCCCGCGAAGGCCAACATGGTCGCGGGGTATACGTCTTGTACAATCATCACCACGCGCCCCGAGGAATGCGGCAGAGGTGAGAAGGTTGAGCTCTCCATCCCGTGTCTGTACAATAAGGGGCCTCTTAAGAAGGGCGCCCGCCTCCTTCGCCCCGAAGAGGACAAGTGGCCAGTAGCTCAGAAGGTGCTGGCTTCGCCGAGCAAGAGGCCTGGGGCTGGTCAGAGCACCTCTGGCGCCAAGGCTCCCAGAGTGGGTGCATGAGGGATTGCGCTCGCTGCCGTTTTGTCTGGTGCGGCGCTGGCAGTTCGAGCGCGGGCGCTTCGAAGGGGGGGGGGGGGGGATTGGAGGGAGGAGGGGGCACATGTATATGATCAAGCGTGTCGTTCGAAGGCTGGCTGGGGCCCTCGCTTGGCGGGGGCTCTTGCCATTGGGCGTCTGTCTCCAGGGCGCGCGCTTGCTCTTGGCGCCCTGGTGCCGTGGAAAAGAGTGCTCTTCGGCCGCCGTCGGTCCGCCCCCTCCTCGAGTCAGCAGCCGACGCGGGTCGATGATAGCCCTTCGCAGCAACGAGAGGAAGGAGGGGGATCATCGGGGGAGGACGTGGGCGGCGGCTGGAGAGGAGGAGCGCCAAAAGGGCAGCGACACATTCAAGGCAAGAAAACGTAAGACATGCAAACACACCAACCGCAGCCTGCGTGTGTGTGTGTGTGTGTGTGTGTGTGTGTGTGTGTGTGTGTTGTGTGTGTGTGTGTGTGTGTGTGTGTGTGTGTGTGTGTGTGTGTGTGTGTGTGTGTGTGTGTGTGTGTGTGTGTGTGTGTGTGTGTGTGTGTGTGTGTGTGTGTGTGTGTGTGTGTGTGTGTGTGTGTGTGTGTGTGTGTGTGTGTGTGTGTGTGTGTGTGTTGTGTGTGTGTGTGTGTGTGTGTGTGTGCGTGGGGGGCAGTGGAGGGGGGGAGGGGGGGGGGGGGGGGACAAGGGCGGGATAGCGCGAGGAGTAGCGAAGAGACGGAGTGAAGTTAGAGGGAAGGCGTGTATAGGGAGTAGAGAGAGAGAGAGAGAGAGAGAGAGAGAGAGAGAGAGAGAGAGAGAGAAGAGAAAAAGAGAAAAAGAGAGAGAGAGAGAGAGAGAGAGATAGAGAGTGCGTGGGTGAGTGAGAGAGAGAGAGAGAGAGAGAGAGAGAGAGAGAGAGAGAGAGAGAGAGAGAGAGAGAGAGAGAGAGAGAGAGAGAGAGAGAGAGAGAGAGAGAGAGAGAGATCGGACAAGTAGGCGGACCAGGGTCCGTCCGCGAGGCGCACTGCGGTGCGACAACTCGCATGCACTATTTGCGGCGGTGCAGCCTTAAGATACGAGGGCGGGCTACAAAACCCCCTCCCCCGGCGCAGTGCGACTGACGCTACAGACGGCGGACAGACGATGAAGATCTCACCTGACAGACCGCGTGAGGTAAAAGGCCCCAACAAGAAAGGCGACGTGCTGGCACGTGGCTAGGCGGCTTGGCGGACCGCCAGTTGGGCGCTTGGCCGCTAAGCGGCGCGCAG